CTGAAAGTTGGCTAACTGGTGGATTGCAGTGTGCTTCTGAGCTCCAGCTACCGAGAGCATAACCTGCAGCTGCATCTGGAAACCCTCATAGGATCCAAGAGCACCACTGTGAAGGCCAGGGTATTTGTGGCCAAAGCAGTGGGTGGGGTATCACCTACGGCACCAGGATGGGTGGTTTGGACCTCGGTGCTGATGGCTGTGCTGGTGGAAGGGAAGACTGCTCTGAAAGGACTCCTGTAGATCTGACCCTCACTGAAGCCAAGACCAAGACCGGGAACTCTGGCCCCCTATGGCACCAGGAGCTGCCGGATAAGGATGACTCTGGAGACCAAGAGGTGTGTACATGGCTTCAAGTCAGACTGAAAGTGGCCTCTGGACCTGTTTTGGGAGGGCACTGACAATGACATGATGACCTCTGGTGCTGGGAGGAGAAACAGGACCTCCAGAACTGTTTCTCATATCCAACAAATTTCAGTGCCGCGTGACAACTCCAGTACGGGGAGCAGCAGCAACCTTGTGGGGACCCATCGCATGAATGATTCCTCTGGTCAGGTGGGCATCTCACCCCATGGTGTCTGGCTTGCTAGGCAGCACGTGCCTCAGATGGTCTGCACTCGATATCTGGCAAAGCTCTGGCTCTTGAGCCTGACCATTGCCTTTCCATGGCAGGGTGGGAGGGGCTTTGGGGTGCTCTCCTGAACCAACTTTCTGGAGAGCAGGAGCATCAAGTGGGCTGTAACTAACATACCAATGAAGGCTTTCCCCTGTGTTGGGGTCCCAGTTCCGAGAGTGTCGGTGGGACTGGCAAGTCAAGAATGTCCTGCGCTACTTGAAACGTCTCCAAGATGAAAGGTTCTTGGATGGCCGGTGACGGAACTGAGGAGCTCTGCAGGTTGACTTGCTCTTTTTTGATGCTTTCTCCAGTGCCTTGGCCTTGTCTGATGGAGACTTGAGCCTTGACTTGCATGGCCCAGTGACTTATCGTTCCTCAACTTCTTACCCTGTTTTGACGGTGCCTCCAAAGACTCTTGGTGCCGATACATTGTTGGTGCCAGGGGGCACTCTGCACTTAAGCGCTAGTGCTCAGAGCTGAATTGAACCATTGGTCTTGCAGAGCCAAAGCCAACTCTATCATCAGTACCTTTAACCTAATGTCTCTATCCTTTAAAGACCTTGGTCTGGAAGGCCAACAAATTCGGTACTTCTCACTGAGGCTACGTCTACACTACAAGGTTTTTGCGCAAAAACCCACGGAGCATCCACACCTCAAGCGCATTTTTGTGAAAGAAAATCTACAATCAATCAACAGAACACTCATAGGCATACCTCCTTCTATGAGGCATAACTCCTTTTTGTGCTACAGCTCTTGCGCAAAAAGGCATGTGTGGACGCTCTGCAGGGGTTTCTTGCGTAAAAAGAGCCTATCCGAAAAAGAACAGGTGCTCTGATGGCCATTCTGCAAATGGCCATCAGAGCTTTCTTGTGCAAGAGCATCCATGCAGTGTGGACGCTCTCTTGTGCAAAAGCGCATTGCAAAAATGATGCACTTTGAGTTGTGGATGTGCTTTTAAGCCAAGAAGTTTTTGTGCAAGAACTCCTCTGTAAAAGACACACAAACCCTACAGTGCAGACGTAGCCTGATATGACCTCCACCTGAGCAGTGGAGGCACTGTTTGTGAGGGTTGCAAACAGACATGGGCCTGCAACACTTAATACAATATTAGTACCCAGGAGACCAGTGCATGCCCATGCCCATTTCCAGGGCAAGTCCCTGTGGAGGACTATCTATTACAAAGACTAACATTATCAACAAAAAACAATTAAACCTATTTACACTTATAGAGGGAAACATAAAGAGATCACTAAAGCTTAGCTGGAGCACAGTTCCAAGTACAGTAAAACTCAGATGCTGGACCATTAGATGGTCCGGCACTCCTGATGGTCCGGCACCATGAAGAACCCAGAAGTGCTCCAGGCAGCCGGACCATTGAAGCTGCTCTGCCCGCAGCTTCCCCGATTCAGCCGCTGTTAAAACTGACCAGTGCTGAATCCGGGAAGCAGGGGGCAGAACAGCTGGAGGGCTGCTAGGTAGGTCCAGTAGCGCCGAGGAGCGGCGCTACTGGACCATCCCAGCAGCACCCCAGCTGCTCTGCTGCAGGTGTCCCCAAGTCAGCTGCTGCTGAAACTGACCAGCAGCGGCTGAATCGGGACGCCTGCAGCAGAGCAGCTGGGGTGCTGCTGGGTTGGTCCAGTAACGCCGCTCCTCGGCGCTACTGGACCAATCCAGCAGCCTTCCATCTGCTCTGCCCCAGGCGTCCTGATTCAGCCCCCGCCGGAAAGTTTCAGCAGCGGCTGAATCAGGACACCTGGGGCAGAGCAGCTTGGGTGCTGCTGGGTTGGTCCCCAGGCGTCCCCAGGTCAGCTGCTGCTGAAACTGACCCAGCGCCGAGAC